AGGAGATGGGGTGTGGATGTAGGAGATGAGGAGTGGATGTAGGAGGTGAGGAGTGGATGTAAGAGGTGAGGAGTGGATGTGGGAGGTGAGGAGTGGATGTAGGAGGTGAGGAGTAGATGTAGGAGGTAAGGAGTGGATGTAGAATGTGAGGAGTGAATGTAGGAGGTGAGGAGTGGATGTAGGAGGTGAGGAGTGGATGTAGGAGGTGAGGAGTAGATGTAGAATGTGAGGAGTGGATGTAGGAGGTGAGGAGTGAAGGTAAGAGGTGAGGAGTGGATAATATAGGAGGTGAGGAGTGGATATAGGTGAGGAGCGAATGTAGGAGGTGAGGAGTGGATATAGGTGGGGAGCAAATGTAGGTGGTGAGGATTGGATGTAGGAAGTGAGGAATGGATGTAGGCGTTGAGGAGTTGATATAGGAGGTGAGGAGTGGATATAGGAGGTGAGGAGTGGATATAGGAGGTGAGGAGTGGATATAGGAAGTGAGGAATGGATATAGGAGGTGAGGAGTGGATATAGGAAGTGAGGAGTGGATGTAGGAGGTGAGGAGTGGATATAGGAGGTGAGGAGTGGTTATTGAGTTGAGGAGGGAGAAAAGAGATGGAGATAAAAAGGAGAGGAAGAACAGGAAATAGGAAAGAAAGAGGAAGGAAATCTCCTGTCCACTTCCACAACATTGTTGGTGGCATTACTCTTTTCGTTTCTTTTGTCTTGACTGGGAGAGAGGGGGTGGGTGGGGTCCCGTACTTACTACTTGACTTTCCTGACCAGGCTACAGTATCATTGGTGGCGTTACTCTGGGTTAGGTTCTCCTCTTGACTGTAGATCTGCTGTTGTAGTGTGGTGTTGGTTTTTTTTTTTTTTTTTTTTTTTTGGGGGGGGGGGGGGGGGGGAGGGTATACTTACTACTTGACTTTCCTGACCAGGCTACAGTATCATTGGTGGCATTACTCTGAGTTAGGTTCTCCTCCTGACTGTAGATCTGCTGTTGTAGTGTGGTGTTGGGAGGGGTTTTTGTTTTTGGGGAGGGGGGGGGAGTGCCGTACTTACTACTTGACTTTCCTGACCAGGCTATCATTGGTGGCATTACTCTGGGTTACATTCTCCTCCTGACTGTAGATCTGCTGTTGTAGTGTGGTGTTGGTTTATTTTGGGGGGGGGGGGGGGGGGAGGGTATACTTACTACTTGACTTTCCTGACTAGGCTATCATTGGTGGCATTACTCTGGCTTAGGTTCTCCTCCTGACTGTAGATCTGCTGTTGTAGTGTGGTGTTGGGGGGGGGGGTATACTTACTACTTGACTTTCCTGACCAGGCTATCATTGGTGGCGTTACTCTGGGTTACGTTCTCCTCCTGACTGTAGATCTGCTGTTGTAGTGTGGTGTTGGGGGGGGGGGAGGGAGGGTATACTTACTACTTGACTTTCCTGATCAGGCTATCATTGGTGGCATTACTCTGGCTTAGGTTCTCCTCCTGACTGTAGATCTGCTGTTGTAGTGTGGTGTTGGAGGGGGGGGAGGGAGGGTATACTTACTGTTTGACTTTCCTGACTAGGCTATCATTGGTGGCATTACTCTGGCTTAGGTTCTCCTCCTGACTGTAGATCTGCTGTTGTAGTGTGTCGTTCTCCTCTGTTAACTTACTGTTCTGGAACTGAAGTTCATGGATCTTGTCCAGGTACTGTTGTACCTCCTCAGGAGGGGCCCCCATCTGATGCACTCCACTACAGTAGATACAGTAAACACAATAGTATCAACAAGATTAGCTTCAGCTTGTGTTAATTCATTCTTTTAAATACCTTGTGACCTTCAAGAGAAATGCATACAATAAATGACTGCATGCCTTTAGAATATTTTTGCCCAATGTTATCAAGTTCTCTTTTAGACAGCTGAAGTTAACTTTGTCATTGATTCATGTCAATGTACTTATTGATCATTATCATTAGTCCAGTTCAAACAACAAACCAGAAGTCTCTGATGAGACTGTAGCTCTACTGGTCTTTACGTATAACAAAAGAAAAGTAGCACTTGGATTTGAAACTTTGCAACATGCAACAATAAATAGAATTATGTATCTTAATGTAGTCTACTTCTGTGCCAAGTTATATTGAAATCAAACAAATACTGTAGGAGGAGTAGCGTTTTAAAGGAATTTCACAGTAATTTCTATTTTTAGTAACCATGGCAACACCGTCCATTGAAATCAAAAATTGATGCACTAAATTATGTATCTTAGTGTAGTCTACTTGCGTGGAAGTTATATTGAAATCAGACCAAAACTGTAGGAGGAGTAGCATTTTAAAGGAATTCCACAGAAATTTCTATTTTTAGTAACCATGGCAACACCGTCCATCGAAATCAAACATCTATGCACTAAATTATGTATCTTAGTGTAGTCTACTTGTGTGCCAAGTTATATTGAAATCGGACCAAAGCAGTAGGAGGAGTAGCGTTTTGAAAAATTGTTTACAGACAGACAGACAGACAGACGGACGACGGACACCTTACTATTGCATAAGCTCTTCTGGTCTCTGACCAGCAAAACAACAGAGTTGAGTTAGCTTACTATTTTTCATCCTGTCTGGGATATGATCCTAGGTCTGAACTTCCTGCAGGATCTGCCAAAAAAATAAAGCTGCTATTACAGAGTGTTATCCCCACTTAAACAGCAGCAAGATTTACTATCTAAATTATATAAATATGTATACAGCTTTCAACAAGAGAATCTTATTCATATATGATTGCGCCCATGGGAAAAGGGCCCTTATGGCAATTTTTACACATTTTAAGTTTTTCATGGATATTAAGAGAGCAATGTTAGAAGTTGCCAAATTTGAATTTTTATGGCGCTACATCAACTCTAAGTAGGTTTTTTCTTCATTTATATCAATGATACTTTAACAGGTAAACAATGACATCATGTTACTTTTGCATCAACGTCAAAAGTTTTCAGAGTGAACATGACTTTCACTTCGCATTGTAATGTTATTACGGTAATGAATGTATGTTATTGAGCATTTCCAGAGACATTTGTAAGTCATTGTCTCTTTCAATAATTGTATAATATGATAATAAATAGTTGTATTAACTATTATCCATCATGCAGTGGTGTATAGAATTATAAGTGTTTGTTCGTTTGTTTGTTTTACATTTCACTATGCTGGAATGTCAGGAAAACCCGAGAAGCAAGCGGCTTCTGTTCAATATCAATTTATTCTCTCAAATCCAAAGTATTTATCTCGTGTAATAATCGTTTGAGAAACCTGTAGAATTCATTCAAAAATCATTCTCATTTTACGCATGGCTCTCGATAGGACAAGATGTCATTTTTTTTGGGGGGGGGGGGGGGTTGAATCCAGTATAAACGATATCTCTTTCGAAATGTGAAGTTAAAAAATATTTCAAAAAAATTCTCGGGAACAACAACAAAATAGATGCTGCTGGGTAATGAAAATTTGTCGTGTTTTTGTTTTCTAAATAAGACAGAAAATTTGTGAAATGTAGTGAGTTACCGTATATGCTGTACAATAATTTAAGGACATTAAGTTGCTTCACTGCATGTTAAGCAATATTCGATAAAAAAAATTTTCAAACAAAAACTCAGAAGGACTTCTGCCCGCATGTGGTAACAAAACTTTTTTAAATTGAAATGATACACATTTTTTCAGTCACAGCAAGGAAAATTTTTGAATAATTAATTTTAAGTAAGCAGGTTGATAAATTATAAACAAATGGATGAATTATAATTCACATGCATTTAAAATGAAAGGAACAGATCCAGGATGACCAGTGGTTGGATTGTGTGTGTGTGTGTGTGTGGGGGGGGGGGGGGGGGGTTAAAAGTTAAATGACAGAAACATGCAATACTTGTAGTTAACAGAGTTTAATAGCATACAAGGGTTGTCGTATTTTAAAAATCTTCCTACATTTTAGGTGTGCAGGGGGGATGCCTTCCCACCACCAACCCCATAACCTCCAAATACGTCATTTGGTTAGGTTTGAAATAATATTGAAATAATTCCTCAATTTATTTTTGCACCTTGAACTCTCTCCTTACGTACATGTATATGAGCAGGGTATTCTCAAAACAAACAGCGATCGTCAGCTCCACATGCCTGGAACTGGAAACTTAACTGCTATCAAATCTAGTTAATCGTGAGAAAAATTGCGTCCTAGAATAACGATTTTGTTTGATTTTGTAAAATTAAATGGTTTTAGAAGAACATGTATACACTGGGTATTAATAGATATCGGTTATTTTATTGTCATTTCAACAAATTTTATCCGAACTTATCAATATGTCATTTTTTTAAATTAATATCAAATAGATTTTTCTAAGAAATAAATCATAAATAATTACATGTATATATATATGTCGTCGTTATGAATCAATGACATGCAGATTAATTAATAGATTTTTTTCGGCTGGGGGGGGGGTGTAAAAATTAATTGAAAGTTTTATATATCCAGTCAGTTAAATGCGACTGGTTCATAATATTCCTTGACTGGCTGAGTTTTTAAATGACAAATTTTTACGATGTGACACACATTTAGGTACATGTAAAAATTGTTATGTGATGGTGTGTGTAGACCCCCCCCCCCTTTTCTCGCGGCTTCTTTATCGTACGAAATTCTAATGTTATTGTTTTCAAATTATTGTATATGAAGTTTTACAATATAAAAATTCCAATCTGGCCCCATGCCAGAGACTTGGATATGCTTATCCTTGTAAAGCTTTACAGATACACTGTAAAGTAGTTAGGTCCCGGTAATATAAAATGACCCTGGCTCTCTTCCCCGGTCTCCTGCACTGCCACAGAAATAAAAACTTGCAAACATATTCTTAGTCTTTTGTGCAGTATATTTTTAGCATTTAATTTAATTTGTACAATGCATGTTTAAATACAATTTGATCTTAACAAGATTTATTTCAATAAATCCAAATATCAAAATCAGCCCGTTTACATAATTCAACGGCAAGTTAAGCAATATCATACTAAACCGATAACTGAGATTATTATTTCAATAAGAAAACGAGTTTTAGATTGATAATAGAACTGTAATGACATACAATGCTGAGATTCTATGAATGACAAGGATTACATATATTTGACTTTTAAGTGACTAAAAACTGCAGATAAAGCTAAAACCTTTGAACTTTTTTTATGCACAACACGAGTACCAAAATGTTATATTTTCGAATTACTGAAAATAATTAGACAGCAAAAGAAAAAAAAAGAGATAGAGATTTCTTTTCATAATACGATATTGTTGTGTTTTTGAAAATTCGCCTTTTCATTAAAGTTTCACATTTCACATTGTATTAATAAATTGGATTTAATGTAACATCTCTCTCTCTCTCTCTCTCTCTCTCTCTCTCTCTCTCACACACACACACCAGGTATACATACATGTAAACTTTTTTTTAAGCTAGAACAATTAGAACAATTTTATTTCATTCGGTAGTTTTTGTTTGTTTTCAAGTACTTACATCGGAAGTTGCAACAACAAAAATAAGACGAAACAATTTTATTTTTAATTTCATTTCATTTTATTTAAATTTATGATCATTATTACTAAAAATAAAAATTAAATTCAAGTTATTTTAAAAAATAATTTCATGTTAAAATAAATAGATGCACATGTAACAGATTTAAAAAATAAATGAAAGTCTGGTTCAATGTAGCATCTATTTCTTATTCTATATTTCTCTTTCACTTTGACAGCAGCTAGTTCCATGAGCTTACAAAAATACTTTTAAAGAAAGTATAAATATAATACTTACAATTAAAACGTTTATTTAACTGATGATAAGTAAGATTTTTAAAAATATTTTTTATACTACGGGAGCAAATTTGTATGAGTATGTTGATTTTGAATGGTGTTTAAAAAAAAAAAGTCCCTCTCTGGTACCTCTCTAGTATCTCGCTTGTCAGAGTTACCTCTCTTGTTTTTATTTATAGTTCACGTCTGTCATTCGTTCGTACTTTTGCTAGATTTGAGAAAACTTACAAGAATACTTTTCTTTTCTGTTGGAAGAAGTGTGATCAGTTTCAAATTTTTGGCAATTAAAGCATTTTACAACAAAAATTTATGCACGATGTACCAATGCTTCAATGTTTACATGATCGATGTGTTGAGAATGGTGGGGCGGATCTTATACAGGAAAACAATTTCCTCTGCAATATTTTGATAATATACCCGTGTCTAACAAATAACTTCAATTTGTCTATATATCAAAATCGCATTTGTTCATCCATATTCAATTATCCAGAAAATCACCTCGTCTGTACATGTATAGGAAATGCATAGCCCAGATCAGAGACGTATATAAAGCTACAATAACATGTAGTTAAGAAACGGGTCTCGAATAAAATTCTAAATATTTTAATTAATATCAGTGGACTAGAAGATCAAGACGTGAATTAAAGATATAAATGAAAATAAATAATTATTTCAATGTTGAGAACAAGGACAAAAGTGAGCTAGACGTGTCAAAACGTAAAACACGTGGATAAAAAAAATCTGCGTCGACGCTCACCGTCTGCAACGTCATATCTTTATGACGTTATTTCTCTGTTTTTGCAAAATTGCCATAAGGCCCTTTTGTCATGGGCGCAATCATATGCATTAATTTTTTTTATTAAGTTTACTTATTTTCCACTGTCAGCTACTGTAAATCATTTTTTATTTGCAAAAACTTTATTTTCACTTAATTATGCAAAACAGTGTGCTCACGAAAATTTCATTCTCATGTATATTAGTATTTCGAAAGATTATATAGAGCAATAACCACAATTCGTGAAAATTTTGTTTGACTAATAAAGATTTTATTACTATCTCGGGAAAATAAAGTGTCACGAAATTTAGTGATCTACATTACTGTATATGACACTAGATATGTAAATGCATAGCTTGACTATATATGTAAACAAAAATTTAAAAAAAGGTATGGAGAGGGATGAGGACACTAAACTGAGAATGGGCTGGACTATAAATACACTTCCCTTTGATAAAGGGGGATATTGTAAACACATTTGACTGATAGACTTGGTAGACAGTCAGTTATTTGATAAGTACACAGACAGTTTTGACCGAGCTGGATTGTGAAATTACTAGTGTTGTCAATGAGTACCGGATTAACCCGTTAATCGTCGAACGATGCGAGTATCGGTTAGTAAAACTGCTATTTGGTTACTCAGATAAAAATACATTTTACATAGTAAATACGTAGAAAATAAATGTTATTTATATTGATTTAATGTATACTCACACATTTCTCTAATTTTATTAACCATTAAACTTGATCTAGTTGTTCACAAATAGGATAGATTTGTTTTGATAAGTTTTCATAGTTTATATGATTGCTATTACTTTCATTGCCAGGGGGTATACAAGATTCAAACACCCGAGTTATAATTACCTCATAATTATTAGTCAGAGGAACATAATTTAACAAGATGCCGCCGAAGACATCGAAAGCTTGGTAGTAATTGATACAAACAGCTGATTTGAATTCGTTAAATGTAAATTATGTGAAATGAAGTTATTGTATACTTGTGGGACTATACAAATAATTATGTTCAATCACCTAAGATTAAAACATATTTCGTAAACCAGCAATTTACTGGACATTCCACAAAATCAACCAGCAATTACGGGGTTCTTCTTTGAAGATTTTGTGTATTTGGTTGAGTTTGTAATTGTAAATAAAGTTCATATACAGTACATTTGTGTTTTATTTCTACGATAAGTAAAGGATGAGGTAAATAATATATGTTAACTGTAACGAAAAATCATCCGAGTTACTGGGTATACTCGATCAGAAAAGTAAGCCAGTAACCAGTTACTAAAAATCGTCCGATTTGACACCACTAGAAATTACTCAACTTTTACTGAGTTTCACTGTGAGAACACTCACTTTTCACTAAGAAGTGTGAAGACACTCACCTATAACTGAAATTGACTGTGAGAACACTCAAATTTAATTGATGAGAAGTGTGAAGACACTCACCTTTGACTGAGCTAGATTATGAGGACACTCACATTTGACTGAACTTGACTGTGAGAACACTCACTGTTTACCAAGTTTGACTGGGAGAACACTCACCATTTACCGACTAATTGACTTTGAGAATACTCACCATATACCAAGTTTGACTGAAAGAACATTCACTTTTACCCAGTTTGATTGTGAGAACACGCATGGTTTACCGAGTTTGACTGAGAGAACACTCACTTTTAACTGATAAAAAGTGTGACGACACTCACCTTTGACTGAGCTAGACTGCGAGGACACTCTATTAGATGAGTCTGATAGGAAATCTTCATACTCAGAGCCTCCATCACTACAATAAATGTACATTAAAAATACTTTTGAATAGGTCTTATCTATACATTCTGTAAATGTACAATTCTTTTGATAAAGCAATAAGCCATCTTAACTAAAAAAAAAGGTTTTGGCAAAAACAAATCATAAAACACATCAGATATAGCAATCTAGATTATCCTAACTATATCACACAACAACAATCTATACAAAAATGCCTGAAAGAAAGACCTTACAGAAAATCCCACCCATACAAGTAGTGAATAGGAGTTTAGGACAATATTACCTGATGGACTTGCTGGATTTGCTGGACGTGGTAGTAGTACTAGTAGTACTAACAGTACTAGTGCTACTCATCATTGACGGTAGTCGGACAACAAACGAGTCAGTCAGACTCGACTGAAACTGACTCTTCTTACGACTCTGTAGTGAAAATAAACGGAACTTCTGTCGTCTCTGATTTGCATCCATAATTGGTTTAAACGATGCACAGGCTTATCACATTCAAAGATTTTTGAAAAAATAATATATGTTATCTCAAGGTAGAGATTTCACCAAATTTCAACACAAAATAATTCTTTTAGGCAACTCCACTGTTACGTGTTTAGCCAAATAAATTATCCATATATATCCTAAAATCACTGCACGTGAGTAATAAAATCTCTGAGACACGTCTCTTCTTGTCTTCTATATATTGTCAATGTACAAGGAAAAAAAAAAAATCACTGTCTCGTGTTCAAAATAAATAACATGGCATGTGATAATTTATATTACTCTGAAAAGGTCACGTTTCCATTGCAAAGATTCAGAAAAGTGTTAATTTAATGAACCTAAACACTTCACGTCTACTAACAAATTATTCATTAAATTTTCCATATTAATCTTCTCTTTGATCATGATGCTCTCTACAGAATCACACACAATTTGTACAGGTTTTAGAGTTTCACAACGTTTTTACACAAATAAATATGGCGATTGCGCTCTATCAAATTGCACAATGACTTCATTTTCCTTTTGATAACAGATTACATCAATCTTTGTAAAATCCAAATTTCTTTGCCAACTAAAACATGCACACTGATGTAGATTTGCTGTAAACGGAAGCTTAGACAAGTGGCTTGAATAATTAATACACAGCATCAATTTCATCAATAAAATGTGTGTATATTAGCTAAACTAGATCAAAGCCTACAACCTGTCTCTGTTTATCTTCTTGTTCAGTTTTCAGACCTTATAGTTATAAATTTCTATAGTTTCCTTTGTAGACCTGTATTGTTTAATAGAAAACATCTCTCTCTTTATTTTAAATAATCATTGATTACAATTTGTCACTGTAAAATTAACTGTATCACATGCAAATAAAAATTTGATGGCATAAGAGGGCTTTCAAAGATGACTTGAACATGCAATGCCAGCCTGAAGCACCAATATCAAGGTACGGACCTCAGGGATAAGTTTATTAGCTATTCTATTTCTAAGATCATTAAAACATTTTCAACAAAGGTTAAGTTAGACTTAAGGGTGTGCTGAAAAGTCATATTTAATATTAGCTACCGTATTCTGTTTCTAAGATCACCAAGAGTTTTGTTAAACATAGGAGTGTAATGACAAACAAATGTGCATGTCCACTGACATATTTTAGGAAATTTTATTTTAAAAATCAGTCTTAGAATGAAAGATAATCAAGCATATCAAACTGTTAACTGATTCTTTATATCTTATCTAATTTCACTCATGATTTGATCATGCAACTCAAATGATTAAACATTTATTGTATTTTTACAACTGTAGCATAAATTGCTAGTGATATATAAATTATAAATGAAAATATCAGTAAAATACAAACAAATATATCAGAGATATATATAGAGATTACTCTAAAACTTTACATTTTTTTTCCACAACTTTGATTTACCCAAGACCTTAAATACATCCAATAAGAAATTCCCTCAAACCAAATTACACACAACACATTGGTCAAGATAAAAGAGAGAGAGAAAAACCAAACCAAAATACACAAAACTTGGTCAGGATAAGACAGAGAGAAGAAAGAGAACAATCACGTTTCACCTTGAATCTCTTGATCCGACCTGTAGCTGTTTAATCCACTGCCACATGATCTGTCGGTACTGCTCCAGAGTCAGACAAGGGTTATTTCCCCCTGGGTCTGCCAGCCTTACAAGGAATGATAAATCCTCTTCATTCTATCAACAAGTGGAAAAAATTACTGCTTTGTGAAATTATACGTGTATTGTACAAGGAGGACCTGATTAACTTTTTTTTCAGTGTAGTGAAGAGATTACCTTTTCGTTGGTCCTGAGGCTTGTAATTTAATCAAACAATGAGTTAAATATGTAAATAAAATGCACCACCCCTGCATGCTTGATCCAGGTGGATTTAAAGTAACATGGAATTATCATGCTAAAAAAAAAAATTAAACATAATAATAATTGAATTAAAAAAAGCCTAGGTTGTAAGAAAAATTCATGAAAATCTAATTGGGGGGGGGGGGGGGGGCTTAAAAATTGCTGATAACAGAGACATAAACATCACAGAAATTTGCAACTCTGCCTGTACAATTTATGGCTCGAAAATATGGAATGAATTGCCAGAATATTTAAAGTGTTATCCATCATTACAAAGTTTTAAATCAGCATATATCAGAAATTATTTTCAGTCTACAAACTAACTAAAATGTACCTAACACCTCATTGATTATGTTCAGTTTTATGGAAGTTTTACATTCCATCATGTGTAAATATAAGTTATAGTTACACTATAGAATATTAATTGGCTATCGGTAAATACACTTTTTCATTCACGGGGGGCGGAGCCCCAAGTGAATAAAAACTGTGAGTGTATTTACCGATAGCCAATTAATATCTATTGTGTAAGTTACTTGTACCAGAGGACCAATGAGAGAAAGGCAAGTTGTCAGATAATTGGCACCGCCTACAACATGGTGTCAAGCCACGGTCCAGAGTCTGTAGTATAAATAGCTGTCTCCATCTGCAAGGATCATATTTTGCTACGGCGCTGCTGCTGCAATCACTGATAAAAAATTCGGAATGGGTGCATGTGATGATGTTCTTCGAAATGTTGAAGACACAGAAGACATGATTTTTTGGTCAGGTACAGGGGTAAGGATTGTAAACTACATGTAATATACTGACGCTGTCAACTCTGAAAGAGAATTCATCTTTCGAGATCGTTATTTTTAAAGGGGGGGGGATGTCAATGGAAAACATTGCCGTTGAAATTTTCTAATATGGCAATGGATGTTTAGAAACAGGGACATATATACTGTCTAGTATAAAGGTCCCTGATAGACACTATGAAATGATTTCTGACATTTTAATGAAAATTTGAAATGCTTTATGAAGTAAAGAAAAAAAAAACGCAGGGACTTCTGATGTTAAATTGCTATATGTATTTGGAGAAAGAAAATAGAAAGATGAGAATTCGAGACAGAAAGTATCATTTACTGAATAAGGAAACGCATAGAAAAAATACGGAAAATTAAATTACGAGGCGAATTTTGGCAAGTTAATGTTAGTATTTTTTTAAATTAAAAATGTTGACTTCATTCATTCAGCAGCCATTGCCGAGGTCTGGAAATTAACATCATTCATTCATCAGTCAAGGTCTTGTCACGGTATGGCTTGATGCCAAAAAGTGGGCGTGACTTAAAAAACTGTGATTCTTCTGGCAAATACACCACAGCATCATCAAAGCAAAATCTAAATTTTCTGCCGGTCCTGTGGTACAATTTTTATTAGACCACACTTTTTTTCATATTCTTTACTATTTATTTGTTTCTGTACATACTTTTGCTGTCTGTATAAATGTTTTCAGGACCACAATGTGAACTAGTTTTGTAAACTAATTGTGCTAATCCTGTATAAATAAAGGACATTATTATTATTATATTATTATTATTCCCAAAATGGAGTGGAAAATCCCTGTTCCAACCTACGTACTTCACCAAAACTGGTATGGATTCTCAGATACTCAATGATGCTTGACACAGGGACTAATCCAGTTTCCTCCACGTCACTGGTTCGGAACAGAATGTCCACGTGGTCTCTGATGTCCTGCTCCGTAAATCCAGACTCATCCGACGAAAATGTTTCTTCATCCCTGTCCATTCTAGGGAAAGAAATGAACATTTTCAACCAAAGATAATCAGAGATTACATTAATCATGCTTGATACACTTCAAACTTTATAATTTTATTAATTCTGTATTTGTTGTTAATTCACGTTCTTTATAAATGTTACAAGAATTTTTTTTTAATGATCCATGTCACAGCCAATATGAATAATACAAAAATACCTCTCTCTCTTTCTAATATTTGAATATTTTTTCTTATGTACAAATACATACGAATAATGAATGAATAATGTTTCCGGATAGATCTATTAATACATGTACATGCATCTGCTAAGGTCGTGTTTACATAAAAATTTACCAGTGTACAGGTTTACGCACTTTACCTTCAGTGTAGATATTGAAACATTTACTTTCTCTTGGGAATACAGTTAAGTTAATAAATCTCCATACTCAGAATGAATTCAAATGCTGCTTTAAACATTGAAATTCAATGAAAAAAAGGAATCAACTTTGATGTTCAACGCAGACGACCTCGTATTTCGCGCTCCGTGTCAGAGAACTAATGAAGGCCGATCCCGATCAATTTTTTTAGCTCAACTGAGCTGAATTTTCTGATCACCAGTTATCCAGCGTCCATCCGTCTAGCTGTCTGTCTACTGCCCAGTCTGGGTCGACCCCGTCTGTCTGTCCGTCGATCTGTAAACTTTTCAGATTTTCGACTTTTTCTCAGGAATCACTGATCCAATTTTAAACAAATCCTTGGGTATACAGTGGTAAAGGGGGATATAAATTTGAGGGTCAAGCCCCCTTCTAAGGGTAGATATTCAATAAAAGGCAAAAATGGGTTGAAGTCATTAAAAATTCCTCTTCTGAAGAAACTTATTTGGAAGCATCCTGAAGTACATGTATTGTGGATTCTAAATAGTTCAAATTACGGCCCCAGGGGCACTATAGTTCTTTCATTTAAAAAATATAGGAAAAATCTTTCAAATCTTTTTCTAAAGAACCAGTGGAGGAGAAAAGTTGAAACTTCCTTAGGTAGCGTAGATTCTAAATTGTTCAGTCAAACCTGGCCCTGGGTGTAGAGTGGACCGGGGCCACAATAGGGTATCAATTTTTTACATTACCTCTGGTCTCTATTTTTCAATCCCCCCCCCCCTCCTATGGCCATTTGAATGCAGTATAACTTGGTAAATATTACATGACGTATCATCTATGAAGACTAATTAATATTTAGGCGATTCAAACGTATAAGGTTTCTATTTATCATTATATACTGCACGAGTCAACTTTAAGGAGGAGTGATTGTGTCTGTTTCAATACAAAATCCTGTTTGATTCTGGTGTAAACTTGTTTGTTTGTTGTTTAAACGCCCCTCTCAAGAATTTTTCACTCATCCGGAGACGCCACCACTTGCCGCGATGGAGGGCTGCAAATTTAGACCTATACTCGGCACTCAGGGCCATTAAGCAGAGAGGGATCTTTTTCGTGCCAGCATCTACTGCGAGACATATGTACGGCCTCATCCGAAGGAACGTTCTCCACGTCCCGCAGTGGGATTCGAACCCGCAACGTAAGGATCAAGGGGAGTCTTAATTAAGTATGTTAAACTAGTTTATATTTTATTATCTGAAAAAAGCTTATGAGTTCGCGAAAATAAACATACTAATTATTTAGCTTTTTTCACCGCCTGTTAATATGAGAGAGAGAGAGACTTACCATTATCATTTGTTCATCTCTATGCACATGCTCCTTTAATGTTCTTCTTGTAAATGCATGCATATGAACAAAGGATCATCTAACAAATCATTAATATAACAATAATGCTACTCCCTGGACATCATTTTAACTGTATTTGAATTAATTGACAGCTATTGTGATACCAGTTTAGACGCTGATCGATAGCTGTTCGATTTACTAACGATAATACATTGAGATCGCTACCTGCAGTGTTTTTTTAGTGTCCCTATGAATATAATTTATTGATTTTGAGACTGAAAAAAATATAACCGAATTGCTGGATAAAGTCTACATGTGAAGAGATGAATTGTGTGGTGATAGCATACTAAAGAGAGTTTATAATTGTACATAGTTTATAATTTTAGATACTTTGACACTGATAGATATACCTAGCTGGAAAGATTGGATTATAGTTGTCATTTCACTCCCATCCAACTCCTGTGTCGCTTTCCCATGAAGTACGAACATCAGAGAGAGAGAGAGAGAGAGAGAGAGAGAGAGAGAGAACGTTTACGCTCGCCCTACCGCGCAAAAAAAATTAAAAGGTATATTATTACGAAAATCGCTGAATATAGTCCCATGCTTTTAAGTGCTGATATTATTTTTAGTAGTCCAGCCTAAAGGATTATAATACCACTCAGGCACGTACTGTGTGTGTGTGTGTGTGTTGGGGGGGGGGGGTCCATCATAATCTTTTACTGATAATTTAGGATGAAAATGCACTTTGTAAGGCCATTTGCGACCCCACACCCTTTTGTTTTTGCTGCAAATCCTCCTATGTCAATGTAGTTTTAAAAAATATCATGTCGAATTTAAGAAGTTGGAACCCCCAACCCCTCACCGAAACGAAATAGGATTTTGGAGTTTGCATATACTTTTTTTTTTAATTCTCAAATATTTTCCCCACCCAACCCCACACTTTCAAAAAGGATGCAATGTTGGTGGCATCTGAACTGCATGCACCAGGACAATGATGTACTACATGCCGTACCCCTGTATGTACATGCTACACAAATATGAATGAATGCTACTTTTTAAAATTATAATCAGACATTTTGTTTTTAATTTGAAAATACTGAGAACCTCAAAGTATTCGTTCAAACTTACTGTCAAATATAGTTGCTTCCGGAACACATTTGTCCCGAGTCAGTAAAATTATATAATTATAATGAGTCTGTTGGATCTCAAAATGAAAACTAAGGACAAATCATACAAACTTTTACCAAAAAAACCTTTGAACATAATTGAACATAACAACTAAAGCCGTGTTTATGTAAGTAAAATTAATAAGTTTAACCGCATATATTTTAATTTTTCATTTAAAGTTTCATAATAATGTAATTTAAAGTGACAAAAAGTTGTATATACAATAGACAAAATTGCTAACGCACCACTTGTTATTCTTATTTGTGAATTGAACATTTGCCCGATCGGTAATAGTATATATATATAATATGCCATCTTTTCCAAGACAGTGGGATTGACAAATGTCTTGGTATCATGACAAGACCCTTAAATGACCTTGGTGCCTGAAAACGAATTTTCCGATGTGCACTGCGCACCGTTTTTGCCCAGATATGAAGTTGGTGATCCCAAAGGTGGTCCGTGAGGTTGCCACAGAAGCAGTCTCCCATTTAAAAAATCAAATAACATACAGTTATTGACTATCATATCGCCTAGTAGTCATCCAGTGCCTTGGTGTCCATACCAAATCCACCCAACTTCCGGTTGACCCAATTTTGTGGTACAATTTTCAAATTATCGTGTGCTGCTTACTTAATGCCATGGCTATCTATAGTAAACATTTTTTATGTTTATTAATCTATTTGCAACAATTTCTCATGAAAGGAATTCAAAATCTTTAATTGTTTTCATTTTTTTTTAAACAAATTTCTCCAAAGGAACCCCCTGCAGCCACTATACTGTCAACGCCGCAAACGGTGTAACTTTTTTTTCTGAGTTTTTGATTAGTACAAATACAAAGAACACAAACACACAGAAAAAAATAGAAATTTATTCTTCCAAAAAAGTATGGACACGACTTTAATTTTTTCTATGAAATGGTTACGCTTCAGTAAACATTGTAGTTATCTATCAGTAAAGACATTTAAATGCCTCATTTTTATTTAAGTAACATAATTACATATCAAATACAGCATTAACAAGTTTTTTAAAAAAAATCTTAATTTTTCTTTTATGGTGCATTAGCAATTTTGTCTAGTGTATATATATATCAATAAAGATGGTTGCCGAAAGGTAGAATTTTGAGCATCGTAGGAAGATTCTCAATATTACAGATTTTAAATTCATATTCGCATTATTTACAACCAAAATAGGTCTAAAAATATATACCAATCCAGGCATCCATGCATTTTTTGTTTAATTGTTTCATCGATCTGTCCTTAATGTTATAATAACGATGGGTTCATGTACATGTATTACTAAAGTTGTTGTGGTTGCAAATGGAGTATAATAACTCATCAGTGTTAATACAATGTTTTATATGACTGAACAGGGGGATGATGTGCCTTTATATCATGATCAGCTCTATTGAAAACAGGATAACATTTCTTTTAAGCCTTAAAGTAATGGACAGCACTCTTGAGACTCCTCTTTCTACATAGATCAAATAAACACAATCTCTGAAGTTAATGTAACGTGTTTCTGCTCATAAAGGTAGAAGAAAGAATCTGGGAGGATTAGTTGAGCTATTTGCCTGCATATAAATCGTAATAACAAATAAAAAAAATCAATGATTATTTTTTTTTTGGGGGGGGGGGGTAATTTATGCAATGTTTATTACCATATGCATACAAAATTGAAGATACCATAATACAGTGTCTGGGAAATTAAACCAAACCAAAATGACCCTACAAAACACCTCGACAAAATTGGGATGAGAAAACTACATTTTATTCTATTCCCAAAGAAGAGAAATCAGAAGTACTGAAACAGTTTAGGACAAAATCAATCCTGAACGTAGAAAGAGAGAAATATCTTGCAATTTAAGCCAAGAGAATGTCTGATTACATGCTTGGGAATCGGTGACTGGCATCGACATGCAGATGAGAGGGCTAGGAGTATCGGAATACATGTATATCAGAATGTATAAACATGTACATGTAGCACACAAGTATATCGACACAGATATAATCCGGGAAACTATATAAACAGTCTAAACGGAGAGCTGCAGTCATCAGCTTAGATTTAGTTAATGTGTATGGAACTGTGCTTCACGAACAGGTTAACATAATTTATACTGGGGTATAGAAGCTAAGTGAACACTATAAGAGAATCACACAGGGTGAACCTACGCCATTCAGTCATCTAAATGGTGCCAGAAAGGTCTGGAATGGCAGAGTTTCATCCCGTAGATCAGTCATCATTTGGGAAAGATCTAGAATGAAAGCATAAACATGCAAGCAGTGCAGCCCTAGTATATCTTGATTGATTGATTGATTGTATGTTGTTTTACGCCTCGTTCGAGAATTTTTCACTCATATAGAGACGTCACCATATACCGGTGAAGGACTTTGCTCGGCACTCAGGGCCATTGAGCAGTGAGGGATCTTTATCGTGCCAACGCCTGCCGTGACACGGGGCCTCGGTTTTTGGTCTCATCCGAAGGACCCGCAACTTTCACTTCAAAGTGCCGAGCGCTTGGCGAAGGAACAGTTGCTACCTATTTTTTATCGACCTAAGTCAGTCGCGGCCGGGGCTCGAGCCCACGACCTTCCGATCGTGGAGCGAGCGCTCTACCGTGGTATATCTTGAAGTTTGACGATAAAGGACGAAAATTCATTAGTGACCGACGAAAGATTCAAGATTGGAAATGAGACAATACCAACAGTTTCAGAAAAAACAGTGACACTTTCAAATCTTATATTATTGAATTGTCATAAATCATAATGGCTTGATTTGTCAGATTTTATAATCACAAAATATTTAATTTGTTAAATTGCCATTAGTGCATACATATCATCAGGTGAACTGTACTTCGAGTGATTTGTTTATTGCTTGTTAACTCAAAAATATTATCTTAGCTCTACTTGTAAAACAGATACATAAGTAACTCATGATGACGTACACCAGTTGCTTAAATTAATTTTGTCAATTATCATTATGTCTTTAAATACACATTTTTGATAACCTTTAGGGGGTTGTCCCTCGGCCTTTTCCCTGATACGGCCATCCCTGAGTAAAAATAGAGGACTGCAAATCGTCAGGCATTTTCATCTTATTTAAATGATTATTCCCAATAGCCCACCCTGTGCCTTTCAAAGAAGTACACATAATCTTCGGGGTGTAAAAGGAGGAATGCTCCAATATCTCCCTCCTAGTGAAGAATAAATCCTGAAAATGTTGATAGAGGAGCTTCATCCATTGTCCACAGAAACGCTCCAATGTGATGTTGTATCCACACCCTGTCTCCTTGCTGAAGGTGTATCACAACTAAATTATTCCCTGTATCAACTTCACCATCACTTGCAGAAGATGCGATTCCAAGAAGAGGGTTGCCATTTTTTACCATCTTAGCAATCATTCTGTTGGAATGCGTGGCTAGGGAACAAGACAACACATAGACGCCATTTTGTGGTACGGTAAACACACCGGAATCTGCATCATATCCTCCCCCAACATTATTTATCACGTGTGGAAAGATGAATTTTTCGTGTTGCTCCCATTGTTTGTTAACGTCTCGTACTGTTCTGCAGAAAAGTATATCTGCTTCTGGATATCTGAAACTATTTAAAAATTAAATGTATTTAATTCCTTTTTCTTTCCTTTCAGTGATAAATGGCGATTAAATAAGCGGGTAATTGAAAACCAGGCCCCAGTGTAAAATGTTTATTAATTAATGAATTAATCTCTAAATTTGCAGATAACACAATTTTGTAAAGCAATATTGAGAAATACTTTGATTTTGTTCTGCTTGACTTCTACAAAAATTTAGAACAACATAAAGATTTTGACTTAAGATGTTTCAAGATCCCGGAGCCATGATAGAACTTGGGTAGAGATAAAAAAAAAATAGATTTAAAACATTAAGATTCATATGTTGAATGCTGAGGACCAAAATCATCCTGGACCATGACTTTCTATCATTTCTCATAGATTGCTACAAGTAGCTGTAAATTATATTGTGATGCAGGGATATGTTCATGCAATTATTTTCGCCTTACCTGAAGACACCAAACCAGAAATTGTCATTGCCATGGCCCCAGTCTTAGCTTTCAAGCTGGATATTTCACTCATAATGAATTCTTTCTGTTGTTTCATATCCAGCTCCAAAGTAAACGTTATCGTTTCTTTTACTTGCTGTATACTGGAATGAGAAAGATCACTACTGTTCTGTGAAGAATTGTTGCAGTCACAACTCTGAGTTTTTAAATCATTGACTTCCGCTTCCAGTCGGAGGCGGAAGTTACGTTCCTTCTGCAGCTCCTCCCGTAGTACGTTCTGTCCATGTTGTAAATCGGCAATTTGTGACAGAGTAGATGACAGTTGATTCAATGTTGACGAGAGTTGATGTAGAGTTGAAGAGTGTTCCAGTTTTAGAATTTTAATCTCATCTTGAAGAGTGCGAAGAAGAGTTGCGTCGCCTCCATGATAAGATTTGAGGTTGTAGAAGATTGAGCAGTTACATGTACAAAGCAATGAATATGTAAAAATGAAATCACCAGGAAAAGAATAACATGGCGATACATTTTAGCAAATGAAGGTGTCGTAGCAATCTGCAAAGATAAATAATAGTAAATTTATCTTATCAAGATAAAAACTTATATACCTTTATTTAAATCATTCAATATGTACACCCACACATGCATAAGAACAAAGTTCTTGTAGAATTAAGAAGCCTTTTCCAGATCGAGGTGAGAGGGACGCTAGAAGGTTAACGTTCAAATGCATGGGGAAAGGCGATAACAGTGCAACGACTGCATGGGAGGATATGGCTCGTACATGTCCCATATGAAATAACTGACAAGGAAAAAAAATCCAAAGCCCAAATCAAATTATTTCTGCTATCATTGCAAAAACCGGTTGGGTTTTAATTGTTTTCGTTCCAGCTGCAAACCAGGATCAAAGTGCGATTAATTGCGTGATTTTTGTTTTACGTCCTTTGCGAGAATTTTTCATTCAGGTGAAACGTAACCAAATACCGGCGAAGAGCACCAATACTCGACACTCAGATCATTAATTGAGCAAAATGAGGGTTCCAGGTGCCGATTTAGGAATTTTTCCAGAAGGATTCACAAAAATGTCAGACTCAGAAAGTTTGTGATAAAGAAGTAAATAAAATAATTAAATAGAAATTTAAAAAAAATGAAATAAATATATATAAATAAAACAAATAAGCAATTTGCCAAAAGCTCAAAATCCTATTTCGTGGAGGTGTGTGGGTGTTTTAGGAAAAGACACTTTCCTATAAGTCAATTTTTCTTCAGGTAAATGACGAACTCTCCTTACCGTTTAAAAGGGGTCCGTGTTTCCTTGGGGTATCCAAGGTCATTTTTGGGGGTAACTTTTACAGAGAAATTTAACATCTCTGAAAATCCTAAGAGACTCTTCCCCCGATCCCTTCTAGATCCACCCATGATTTTTTTTTATCTTTCAAATGCCTGTCGTGGCATAGGGCCTACGTTTAAGGTCATATCCGAAGGATCTGTAAATTTCACTTTTTATGCAGGGTGCTATAAAAAACAGTAACTTTATGTTTGATGATAAGAATAAATCCATTCGGGACACAAACCTGCCTCTTACATAAAATAAAAACAACTTTTACAACATATGTTTTATACGTATAGTTTAATTTAAGAATAACCTAGTTAACTCCACCCTCCCTCAAATCAAAATAAAAACTTCAGCCTAATGGATAAAGAAAGGGGGCAGACATGGGAAATGCTTTCAGCAATTAGCTTCAAGCAAGTGCATAAAAATCAAGTTAAATTTATTAGTGAACTTAAAATTTGTATCAACTGATCAATGTCATGCAGTTCTTAATTATTTTTAAATATGTTTGAAGTTATTACATTTTAAAATAATTTTGTTGCGGAAAATTCTTTCGGCAAAAGTTATAAAATAAAATCGTATACCAGTATTTGTAGAACATTACAACTTAATAGGCATTTTTCTTGGCTTATTCCGCCCCTGTTCTTGTCCAATATTGAAAAAAAAAAAAAAAAGTACCGTCAGCAAAAAACGCCTGAGACCTTTTATCCAACTAATAATTTCATTCAAAAAAATCTTTACATAACTAAGACATGGTGAGGCTCTTTTTATGTATTTGCTGCCTCACATTTACACGTACTAAAAATAATCTATCTTATTTCAACAGATTTTCAAGGTGAATGAATATAGGCCTATATAATTAAAAAAACTTCAATTAAATTTCAGCAGAGACGTATATATGTAAATCCCTGATCATTTAAATAAATAATTGAACCCCACGATATGAGGTGAGGTTAAATTCTGAAATAAAGAACTCAATTTTGAGAGAGAGAGAGAGAGAGAGAGGAGAGAGAGAGAAAGAGAGAGTCATGATCCTGATACGTGTCTCTTGGTTGGATTATAATGAAAAGGGTAAGCCAATCAAATTGCTTGATAACATTTACGGAAGTCAACTGGATTTGTTTACATGGTCGTTTGGTCGAAGGCAGTTTGATTTCATTTGACTTTCTCTGAAGGTAAACATATGATTTTATTATTTCATTTCAGTAAAAAAAAGAATGAGTGCTTTGCAGGATTTTCTTCCAACAACTTAAGAATTGTCTCCAATATGCTGAACGTGGGAGTTTCGTTGTACAAATACTCTGGCAGAAGGCAGTAGAATTGCAGAACTTAACTTAGACAGTGGTAGTGCTCGCGTACAAGAAATAAAATTAAACTGAAACCGGAATAATAATTTGACTGTGGAACAAATATGGATCTTCAACACAAATTTTTAGACACTTTTAATAACTTTTAGAAAAGTTTGTTAAAATGTGCTCATTATTTTTTTCACCGAATATTCTCTGTTTTTATATCAGTACATGTGCGTGGCGTCCACAATAGGAATTCGTCAAACGTATATTTAAATGATATAAATACAAATTCACCCTGTTTCATTTATAATCATAAGCTATTGAGACCTGGTATGCTGACTGATTTATTCACACATTTGTTAACTCAGTGACATACGACATACCCCCCCCCCCCCCCCCCCCCCGGCTGTTGAAATTCATCTCAGAATTCTATGAAATATCGTAAGGAAATGCTGCAAGGCATGTTCGCAGGGAATAGTGGGTTTTGTACACAGGGTGCCAAAACAATGTTACAGGTGGTGAAAAATGAAGTCTCAACAAGGACTCAAACCCAGTGCCTCTGTTGCTCTAACCATTGAGCTATTGAGAGTCAATTTATTGACATTCATACACCTCTTAACTCGATGACATTATGTTTTCCCTAACACTAGTCAGTAGTGCACAGCTGATTGGGCTGAGATGGTGAAGGAGAAATAATCCTTTAGATATAGTTTTTAATTCCTATCTTTCACAAACAGTTTTAGGTTAAAAGTTGTGACTTGAAATTAATATGTGTCCTTGGCCAGTCTTCCTAATTTGTATAAAAAGTACAAAGATGAGATAAACAAGGTGTGTGAAAGATATTGATAGAAGGGGGGAAAGTAAGCTTTTAGTTTACATTTATTTTGAATTCATAGAGAAAAAAAAATAAATGGATGCAATATAATCAGGTAATCCAAGCCAGTATACATGTAGCATTTGTATGAAAGTTTGGGTCAGTAAATCGAATCAGGGTTGATTTAGTTTACAGACCTATTTATATATTATCCCAGGTGCCATACAAGGCCTTTAATCAGTGATAATGATATGCTAGGTAGAAACAAAATAAGAACATTTCGTAGTGGATTACGGTATTTTCTCAGTTTATCAAACACACAATGAATGACGTCTAAGTGTGAAATCTTGTGAACTATAGTGGTAACGTCATCAAGCCATTGTGACTTTTTGTTGGCCAGATAAGTTGCCAATTTTTATTTTGTAAGTAAATAGAACAGGTGCCGCCAACGAGATAATGTGATTACGGAAAAGTGTTTATTTTTATCCTTATTCGGTTAAAGAATCTGTAGAACCCATTAATAGCCAAACAGATTTGAACATTGAAGACATCATGACATCATGTGTTGCAGTAAGAGTTTAAATTCAGATGGTGTATGAGGATTTATTTTCAAAAGGAAAGCTGGATTTTTCCATCAAGATGATCATGGGTAAATGATAAACCTTTATTGTGTGTGTGTGATATTTGGTGTTTTTCTAAATTTTCCTAGGTATATTTTCACTGAAAGGTTAAAAGTGCACAGCTAATGATACCTGTGCCCTTTTCTTCAGTCATTGTCAATATGTCCTTGTGCTGTCTGTTTTCTTAAAGAAACTTTAAAACTTGAATTCATCATTATGATCATAGTCCCTGTAATATGATGCTTACACATTAGTGTTATCTTGCATGTCTTACCATATATTCTATGAACTTGATGTATCTAGTTATTAAGGTCTAAGTAAAGTGTGTAAGCTAAAATCTATGTATGTGTAGGTATGCACATGAAGCATGGGTTCAACAATCAGCAATGAAACTTATTTCAATAAATAAATACCAACTCAGTGAACTTGAACAATTCAACAAATTATTATGGGTAAACAATGTAATTGAAACATATTTAGTTATTTAAACATAGACAAGACCTTCCCAGGCCTGATAGAAATGCATGGGAACAAACGATAGAAATGGTGTATAGCAGAGGAATTAAGAATTTCAAACTTTAATTTAAAAGGTCTGAAAAATTTAAACTCGAGTGTGTTTACACAGGTCACTGTGTGTCACTTGAGTAGAAAGAAAGAGGACTAAAAATAACATTCACAATCTCAGATAGAATTCTCCTTTTATATATCCTAATGCAGGGAACATACATGTACATGTAGGTTAAAATATAGATCTGAAAATTTTCATAAATCATGTAGGTTGTAGAAAGGAAGTAATCTTAGTATTATCTTTTAAATGACTGTTACTATTAATGTAACTTACTGGATTTGCATATTGTAATTCTATAAGTAAAGGGTAAAAGAAAATTTAAATCCTAAGCAAATATTTTCTTCAAAATCTGCAGTAAACAAAATAAAATGATTGTAAGTCCATGTACAGCATGTGTTGGACTGATATGATTTGAATTACTGGTTTGATACGGACATATTTAATGGGGAAAAAATCCACATTGATGTGTCAGACCTGATTTTGATAACCTTTACCTAAGTTGCCTATACATTTTTTGTTGCTATTCATTGTCACACATCAAAGAATATCATCAAGGCTATAGGCCTTTAATTGAGTAAGGCAGTGCACGATTATTTGCAGCAAATAGCAATACTTTGTGTGTCCTCATTCCTGTGTACTTGACATAAAATCATTCCTGGAAGTTTTGTTTAGAAGCAACAGAGTAGGCAGAGAATGGAATTTTAATAAAAAGGGACCAATCTTATCCGAAATTCAGTTGACAGCATCTGTGGAGGAAATTTTTATGCCCCCTTAATAATTGAAGATTGGGGGCATGTATAGTTTTGATTTGTCCTTCTGTCTATTTGTCAAGCTGTACGTCTGTCTGCAAAATCATTAACCTTGCCCATAACTTTTGAATCGTTGGTGCTAGGGCTTTCATATTTGATACATGTACATGAATGTATTCTAAAATGTGAAAAGACCTTTCTTTGGGTACCAACATATTTGACCTCTTGATCTTAGAGTTAGTCCCACATTAATATTTTGAAAATTTTACCAAACTTATCTTGGTCATTTCTTTCATACAGTTGGTGCTAGGGCTTTCGTATTTGACACATCTATTCCTTTCTTTGGGTACCAATGTATGTGACCTCTTGACCTTGGAGTTTGTCCCAGATTTGAAAAATTTACCAAACTTTAACCTTGACCATAGCTTTTACACAGTTGGTGCTAGCACTTTCATGTTTCACACATGTATTTCAAGATCTTTGGGTACCAATATTTTTGACCTCTTGACCTTGGAGTTTTACACATGAAAAACTTTAACCTTGGCCATAATATTCAAATGGTTGGTGCTAGGGCTTATATTTTATATGGGTGTATTCCTTTTGACAAGAACCTTACCTAAAGAGTGTGACCTACATTTGAAAAACTTTATAACCATGGCAATGAGTTGTCATGGGGGTATCAGTGTTTCACAAATACATCTTGTTAGTATTTGATACTTGGAAGTAAGGAAGTGGATCTTCTTTAGATCAATGAAAATCATGTGTCAATCAATATTCACATGTATATATACATGTATATTATATACTGATAGTCTTTAAAAGGAAAATTTTGGTCAGTCATTTTTTGCAGTTATCCTATTTTCTCTTTTTTGCAACTATATTTCTGAATCAAAAATGATCAAAATGCTTTTGAAAAGGAAAAAAAATATGGACTGGAATACTACATGTATATAAAATTTAATTTCAAAGATCTGCTACTTCTCAATTCAAATTCAGAAAATGCAATTAAGAATTCAATTTTGTGAAATTTGTACATTGCTGCCCTAAAAAAATTATTAAAATTAATTCAACAGTTTGAATATTTCATGAATAAGATTTAATATATTTTAGATGGCAAGAACATAAAGATTACCATGACGACTGTTAGAGAGGCGGGATTGTCCCGCCCAGAGGCAGGGCTTGATCCTAGATTGACAACCAATGGAGCCCCTAAAGAGGAAGAGGAGTGTCATGTGTCCCAGAAGCTTGCTGTTTTACAGGAGGAAAGTCTGAAGCCAATCAAAGAAGACCTGGCTGAGTGGATTGCAAGGACTCTTGGTTAGTGTCTGGTCACTTGATGACTACAGGTCTTTAATGGGAATAACCTCTCTATCTCCATACATCCACAAATGCAACTTCTTGGGCCTTTCTGACAAGCGGAAAAATAACTTTGAATATGTTATGTAGGCATTCATGACAACCCCCCTTCTCATAAACATTGAAATAAATGTAGGAAGACCTCTTATCTGTAGAGTATGGAGCTTAAAATTAACTTCATTGGTTGTAAAAAATTTACCTAAAATATACTACAGAAGGACACTCAGTTTTGTCTATTCAATACTTTAAAAAATAAAAAGCAACTATGTTTTGTATAAAACTTGAACATCTGGTGATGTAAAAACATTCAAGGTTTTGTTGTTTTTTTTCCCAAGCTTGTGGGAAAGACCTGCAGTGAGAATTAAGATGCTATTGATGCATCCATTCACCGGTGTCTCAATTTTTTTTTTTTTTTTTTTGATTATGTACATGCTGGACTTAGGTCTTACTTTGCATCTAGTTACTTTACTGGAAATTTCCTATAAAGTCTTATAAAATGTATAATTTAAATTAATATCATGATTTTATACATACTAGTACTTGATTTATTATTATTATTTATTATTATCATTCAGGTATTGATATATCAACAGACAATTTTATGGATGTTCTTGATAATGGAGTACATTTGTGTAATCTGGCCAAACTAATCCAGGGGAAAGCAGAAGAGTGTGTCCGAGACGGAAGCTACACAGAGGTAGGCACTAGTGCTAATTAACACAGTGGGGCTAATTAGTTCTTTGATTATGATTTTTGAGATTATATTGTTTCTATTTGCTATAATAATAATTTGCTAATGGGGGATGTATGCTAGGGTACATGTATACAACATGTTTGTATGGAGAGAGTCTTAATAACTCACTGTAAAAGGCAGATATTGACAACCTTTCATTAAATAGAAATGACAATTTAGAATATTACAAATGTAGAAAAATTGAAAGCAGATTTATTTTCATTAATGTGCTCTACATGTGTTATCCTATTTATCTAATTTTGGTAAAAGTTATTAATGGACATGCAAGTGCCAGGTATTTGGTATGATGGTTTTTGCATCTTATTCAGTACGTATGTAAGCTAATCAATACAGATGTTTCTCTATCAAGCTTATAATTTAGAACAAGACAAGCTGATTGAGCTAAAACTGAAATGAGCATTTTCTTTTCTTTTTTTTACTTTCTTTTCTTTTTTCTTTCTTTCCTTTTTTTTTTTTTTTTTGTAAAATAGGGGCATACTGGATAATAAATATGATCTTTTTAAGTTACTTTATTCTTCTTTCAATCTTAAATCTCAGCACACAGTAAATTGTTAACCACCTCTTTTAATCTATTTTTACTCTTATTTTCCCCAACAAAATTAATGCCTGCTTTCATGAGTTTGAAGGAAAGCTACATTTTCTCTTTGCAACAGAGTGATTTTTATTGTTGGAATTAATGGAATAAGTTGAAAAGAACTGTAAGTTTTATCTTGCCATTATAACATAGGTGGAGTTGTAATTTTTATATAGTAATAATTACTGACACTGGAGCAAATGCTTATATGGGTTTGACATGCAACACTCAACATTGCTTGGTACACTGTAAGGCTTTAACCTAAGAATCATTGAATGTAGGTGGTGTACATGTTTATATGTTAGTAGATGTGGTTTATTTTGAAAGATTAACTTGAAACTTTGTATTTATTAATGCATTAGGTGGTGGGTATGTTAGAAGATTTTGATTACATTTGTTTATGCATGAAATAGAGAAATTGTCACTGTATGTGAATATCCAAAAAGGGAAGAGACAATAATTTTGTTGATAATTAGTAAAGTATGTGCATATATGTAGATCAGAAATGAGAAGGTAGTCATGAGTCTTTCAGAAAAAAAAAAATGTTTTCTTAAGAAACGGCTACTGTTTCCTTGTCATTTAATAACATGCAAGAATGTGTCAGAGAGAATTAGGACAAAGTATAATTTATATATGTTTATAGATAAAAGAATTCACATGTGTATGTAAATTTGTGAGTTGCATAAACTTTTTTTTTATTGTAACAGCCCCTACCCAAAGTTTCATTGAAGTACCGTAAAAATGCCACTCCTGGAAGCTGGTTTGCAAGAGACAATACGGCTAACTTCCTTAACTGGTGTAAAGCGTACGGAATGGCCGATGATCAGATGTTTGAAACAGAGTACCTAGGTAATGGATTAACCTGTACAATACAAATGAGGCCTGTTCAGCAGAGCGAATGTTCGCGAGCACTTGTGAACATTTCTGTTGGAGAGATAAGGAATTTGGCGAGCGCTCACGAACGTTCGCTCTGTTGAACAGGCCTATGGTGTAATGAAAAAAACGGATATTTAGTTTACATTGAAATCAAGTTCCAATATGTAGGAGAGCATTGAGGTATTATAAGAAGTTGGGGAAAGATGCCATATTAAAAAGTGGGCTCAGTCATCTTTTCCTACCATCAATCATAAGTTCAGTATGACATGTGATGCAATGAACTTAAAAGGTACACTCTCAGGAGTAAATAAGGTTTACAATGCTTTTATATTGAGCATGTAACATTCTTATCAGCAAAACTATTACCCAGATGAGTTGAAAAGAAACTAAGAATTTATCAATTACTGGTAAGCTCACCCCAGCCAAAGGTTCTAGTGAGCTTTTCTGATCAAAATTTGTCCATTGTCTGTCGTCGTCTTTATCACCTTTTCATGTTTTCATCATCTTCTTCAGAACCACTGAACCCATTTCAACCAAACTTGGTAACAGAGTATCCTTTGGTGTAGGGGATTCAAGTTTATTCAAAATGAAGGACAGCATGCTATTCCAAGGGGAGATAATCAAGAAATTGTGAAAAAAAGCTGGGGCCAATCAAAAATCTTGTCAAAAACCACTTGGTCAGAAAAAATGAGACTTATGTGAAAGCTTCATTGTGAGGCCACAATATGTGATAAATATTTTTCATAGGAATATATACATGTAGGGGGGGGGGGGGGATCTGCTGCTGAAGAAAAGCAGGGCCATTGTAGCTCAGGTGAGCATTGTGACATATGGGCCTCTTGTATTTGAATGAAAGTGATCATTTAAATGCCTACATAAGTACAGTATTGATTGTTAGAAATAAAAAATTGATACATATATTAGTAGTATGTGATACATTTATCAGTACCTTTAAAAAGTGACACACATGTACTGCTAAGTGGTTAGAGTAAAGTACTAAGTCAAAAACTTTCTTGTATCCCTAGTGTCACACACTGGAGAGAAGTCTGTTTTGATGACCATTCTTGAGCTGGCCAGAATCGGCTATAAATTTGGTCTGGATCCTCCGAATCTGATCCGGATGGAGAAGGAAATCGAGAAAGAAGAGGAGGTCCCCGAGGTGAAACCAGAGAAACCTACAGGTCTCGATGCTGAGGTAATCCCCATAGCAACCTCCGAAAATGTATTTGACCTTGATGCAGAGGTGAGGGGTGGTTAGGCTTGTATATGTAGAGCCAGCAGATAGTGCCAGGGTTCTAGTTCTCAGTGTATTGCTTTCATCCTAAGAAACTAGGGTTCTTTATATTAGTACTGCAGCAGTAGTGTGCTAGCAAATCAAAGTTGTAAAAGATATTGTTTGAAAAAAGGTCATGTTGCAAAGAGTTAAAGGGTTCTAGGTGCCAGTATTTGACTCTCATGATATTGTGTGGTATTGATGGTCCGATTCTATACAGGGAGAGATGGAATTGTCAATGGTTTTGTATGAAGCAAGGGTTTATCATAAAAGTACAGTGGTAGTTTGCTAGCATATCAGTGTTGTCAAGAAGTTAATGCTGGAAATATTGTAATAAAAATAAGAGTTATCCCTCTTTACTGCCATTCACATACCTATTAATTTATCATACTCTGAAACTGAATTCAGAAACATACCAAATTTGGAATTCTTCATTTAGAAGATGGTCATAGAGGTTTGATTGTGGTGGTGATCAGAAAACCTTATCTGGTCCACTTTCAGTCGGATACCCCCCTCCCCCTTCTGACAAGTCTATTACCAGGAAACAATATGATGTCAATTCTGACCACACATGAAAACCATATTGACTTGATCTGTATTCATCATCTGAAATTGTCAGTTCTGGAGAGTCTGAACCATTTATTTAACCTCAAAATTAATGACGTTATAAATTGTAACATTTCAGGATTCGGTAAGTTGTCAGTTAGGAAAATTCATGATAATGTATTATATGGAAAATTCAAATGCTTATATTATATTTATAATAAAAGTGTTTAAAATATGCAGGAGAACACACAAAGTTGTATGGTAATTAAAGTTGCATGGAGTAGATTTTCATGATTAGTGTGTTATTTGCATTGAAACTGGTCACAGCATACATTTAACCAAATCATAATGCCAATGCATGTGTTTTAGGAAAATTTAATAGTGCTTTCAGGACTTTAGCTATGATTACCACTGCATTCACTATTTTTGGTGAATTTATTTAAAGAAATTATCTCACAAATTGGTTCAGAGATTTTATGAAAGTAAATAAACTGATACATCTGAAAATAATCAGAAAATTGGAATTTAATGTGCTTTCACTAATCAAAATCTTAAACTTATCAGCTTTTAAGCAAAGGTTTGTGAACATTTTCTAAATACTGAAAACAATAATATATACATGTATTAAGCCACAGAAGAAAGATGACTTAATTTGCTTGAATATTTATCATGTTTATCAGGAAACAAATACATGTATCATGAATAAAATAAAAAGAGTATTCTATTCTTCATTTAAAATCAAATTCATGCAAGTGTATTGATTATATTATATTTTTTAAATATTTTGATTTAATTATTATCTTAAGTAATTATTTTTCTACAATCGTAAAACAGGTCAGAAGAATAGCCTTTCTTTGTAAATGTCATGATCATGTGAAGAAGCTAGGGGAAGGAAAATACCTCATCTTTGGAAAAGTTGTCCAAATACGGGTAAGTACTAACAAAAGTGGTCCAAATACGGGTAGGTAGTTAAATTCACAGTTAATTAAAGTGGTCTAGTACATTAAATGGGTCCAAATATGGGTAAGTACTGAAATTTATAGTAAATTGAAAAATTTTATTTTTTATGCCAGTCTTAATTAAAGGTTTAAATAAATTTTAATTAATCTCACACATTTTTCCTCTCAAACTTTTTTACTCTAAAATATGACTTGCTGTAATGAATGGAATTTTGACTTAAGGTATGTCACTCGTCAGCCTTTTAGAAAATTTCAGTCAGAACCTCTTACTTAAAAACTATTTATTACAATTCAATCTTTATAACATATTTAAATTAAACAATGTAAAATATTCAACATTCAATTAAAAAACTGCTCAAAAATTAACAAAGAAGCAAGATTTATAAGGGACTATTTCTTGTGGCGGAAGGATATTTAGCAGAAAATTCTGCAAATCTACACATTTATTAAATTTAATATCTTGGAACTTTAGCCTCACATACTTTTACTCAGAGAATATTTTCCGTTATGATATGCCTGGAATATTAAATATAGGTCTCAATTTATATTTTTATAACAAAATTTACACCTTCGCTCAACAAAAATTGCCAAGAAATGAAGATATATTAAGGAAGTCGAGATAAAATTTACACAGTTTTTTGCCTGAAAATCGCATATTTTGACCAATATTTCAAAATTTACATCACTGACCCCAACTTTTTCTTTCATTATTTTAAACTACTCGATACTTTTGACCGATCAGCACTTAAGTCGTAAAAAGTTTGATACAAGAAAATATTCTATTGCCTATTTAGATTTTCAATACCCTAAATATGAGACTTTTTTAGTGCAAAAAGGTCACACAATAATTTATGCGCATTAATATGCATGATTTGTTCAATGATAAATATTATTCAAACTATTTTACGTAAAATAAGATTATGTTTATTGCCATGGTTACATCTTATAAAATATGATAACTGTTATAGTGATTAACCAAAGAGTTACAATTTAAGTGCAAAAAGGTCAACTTAATTGTACCGTAGCTCAGTTAGATGCACACCGACCCCCCATTTTCTCTGCAATTTTGAGTCATACTATATGAGTACTTATCCAAAATATACTTCTCAAAAAATCCTTGATATAACAAATTTCACGAGTGACATACCTTAACAGACAATATCAATTACAAGTTAACTTTTACTGTAATAGTTCCTAAAGAATCGTCACCTGATGGTACGAGTAGGAGGGGGCTGGGATACACTGGAGCATTATTTGATCCACCACCGACCTGTACAGGTGTTTGAACATAAGAGACTGATCGTAGGAGAACCCCCAGATATCGGAAACAAATACCTGTACTTCAAATCAAAGTATAAATCCCACGCTCAGGTCGTTAGTGAACAGAATGGGCATGCCCACTGAGGAGTGACAAATGGGCAAAATGTGTCCACAGAAATCAAGTGCGCATATTTATATATATTATTTATGGAAACGCCTTTTACAAGATCGAGTCGCTCTTGGATATTATGAAAGTTGTGCTCACGCTGTGTTTGTTCACATTACGATGATTTAATATGTTTACTGGATTTAAGGTTGTTACGTTTTGTATTTGGAATTGTTGATATTGCAAAAGGTTGTGAAGACTTTTACTGGAAAGAATTTTAAGTATCATTTTACTGTACTGTTAATCTTGCACAAGGTATATCTTTTATTTATATTTTTGTTTACATTATCAGAACAGTGTTTTTTTCTGTGTATTTATTTTGTCACACATTGCCAGCAAATCTTTTGTTTTGTTATTACATAAAACAATGTTTTTGTTGATCTGTAAACGAACATATTGGTTTTGTGTTCTTCAAAGTATGGGTGCATTTAATTATAAATTCAGTGTTTTTTTTTTTTACACCAAAGGTGCTCATATGATATTCCTGATATTTAAGTAAAGAACATACATTGATATGAAATGTTGCTTAAGGGTTTGACTTAAATCTGAAGAGTAATTACATGTACATATACCGTACTGTGTATAGCATGAACTGTTTGTTTGATTGTTCAAAATTTACTGTTTTCATCTAATGTTCAATTAACTATCATCATTCAACTATTAAACCAACTCATTTATTCAACTAATTTTTACCCAAGACATATTGAATACTGCTGATTCATTTCCACTTCAAGTTTTAGAACAGAACTACAGATGAGGGTCCATTTTGCTTCTCTTTTCATGACAATTTGTCTTGCCTAAGAATGATTTCTTCATTGTCACGCATAAAGATGAAATTTTTCATATTATTCAGGGTAGAAAGATTGACTTGTACATAAAAGCTAAAACTTTAATTTGGTTTTAATAATGTAAACCAAAATCTTTGAGCTTGATTATTAAATGAAAGATCTGACTAGTAAGCATCCTCTTTTCATATTTATTGTGTATATTTGGGTGCTTATTGGGATGAATAGGGTTTTAACAGAAATATGTACGACATAATATTTTTTTTTAATGTGTTGGACTTCAGAAATTTGCATATAATTTACATGTAGAAAATTTTATTTAGATTTGTATTATTTTCAGTAGATGAGGTCACAAATGACAAATTTAAATATGTAAAACCACTGTATGCAGGTTTTCACTTAGTGATTTGTGTTTTTTTTTTCTTCATTTTACCAACATTATGTTATACTGAACTATAAGCTTTGTACAGTAACACACATAAGTCAACAAAAGTATTTTACAATATCCCAAAATATCTACACAACTGAATTCAATCCAGAATCGACTTATTTAAAGGGAAGTAATCACAATCTAGCTTACTATACATTGTTTCTCATCCCCTGCCTTTTTAATCAAAAAATTTTTGTTCTCAGACCTAAAAATTTGTTTTAATTTCTAAGGTGTTGAAAACTGACACATGTGATAACTTTTATTCATACAGTAATTTTATGCTGTCAAAAAAGTATTGTTTCTTTATTTTGTTGTATATATACAATGTATTGTTATTATTTTGCCACATTCCATCTACCTACATGTACACTAAGTTAAATTTTACTCATGAGATATATTTTATTTGCTATGCAGACCGTCCATTTATTTTAATCCGCTGTTTTGTTGTGTGTTTGGTTAAATACCTTTAATTATATATATTTATCTTGGGAGATTTTATTTTCATAATTCCATCAAAAGTTCATTAAAAAAGTAAATGGATGATTAGTATCTTTATTATTTATGAATTAAAAATTTAGATCAATCCCACAATTACAAGTTTTCGTCTACACCTTCCACAATTGTAGAGCAGTTCAGTTCTTACACATGTGCACGCATAGATGATTTACAGCCATGGAATATTTCATCAATTTCTTTTCAACTATAATGTGTAATTTATCCATGAAACACAAGACATTTCCTGCTTATTTTGTGGAGAATAAAGCTTTGGCAGGAATTTTTCGAGTTACAAATGTGCAAACCACTTACTTCTACACAGTCTGTTATGACCAGTGTTAATGTGAATACCTATACAAATATGATTGTGTATGTATTTTCTCTTCACCATTACAGTAATTTAAGAAGCCCTGTTTTTCCACAGTTAATCTTGATTTTATGTTGAATATTGAAAAAATAATGAATCTTTCAAAGATGTGAGATGTCTCAATGTCAGTTGAATAATTAGTCTTTGGTGCACTGATTGATGTGCCGATTTCTGGTCGTTGAAATGGAGTTTAAGTTGAAAGTGCTGCTTCTTCCCTCCTCAGTGCGCCTTTGCTCAATCTTATGATGGCCTGAGAGAATATATCGAGTTTTTTCAATAAACAGTTTTGACCTGAATGTTAATAAAATTATTAAGCACCAATGGTAATATATACATGTGAAATATTCTTTTCTCTCAAATATTCCTTAAAAGTAAATTCAAAGGTCATTTTCACGTGAACTACAAAGGATGAAGAAGCACATGGGATATTCTGTTACATTTCTTTTAGCTAAAAAAAAATCGTTTTTAAAATTCTTTTTTATTTAAACAATTAAATGGGCAGTTTAATATTAAATATAAGTTTTGATTGATCAACCTGATATATTTCTGTAGACAGTCAGTAACAAACCTAATGAGTAATAGTATATGTATGTATATTTATACCTGTTTAAGATCCTCCCACTTTAAGTTGAAGTCATCCATTTCATGTTCAAACTCTATCATCTGACTGATATAATTTCTATGAATTCTGATTCTCTCTACATCGTCCCCTTGTCGTTTTTGGCCAGTGTTAGGTTCCTTACCCCATCGGTTGCTAGGAGGGTTGACATTTTCTGCATAATTTCTCAACAAGGTGTATATTGTTGATATTCCGAACTTGCAAGAATCGGCAAGCTCCCCTTCTTCTACAATGAGAGGGGTAATCAGTCTCATTATGGTTTTGCTTTATGTCAAAAAAAAATATTAGGGAAATATTAATGATCAACACAAACTATTTCTTATTAGGGCCCCGCAAGGATTTGCGGGTGCCCTATAGTAATCACTCTGTCTGTCTGTCCATCTGTCTGTCTGTCTGTCATTCTTCCGTCCTCAAATTTTCTGTTTTTTTTCTAATAACTTTTTTTGTAGTTGACCAATTAAGTTCAAATTTGGTATGTTGGTTGAAGAGGCAGTAAGACATATTTTGATGCTAAGTTTGGTTCTCTGTGTCATCTAGTTTGGAGCTGGGGTGGTGGGGTAGATTCCTTAACTTTACATTAGAATGAATGCCAGGGCAAAGAGAGATAACTGCTGAGAATGTTCCTGTTGTAAAGTATGAAAGCTGCAACTAGTCCCATGGGATTAATTAGCTTTCCTCTAGAAGAAAATCCAAAGCATTATCTGTTTCTGTCAAATTGAGATTAATTAACATCTCTGTCTGCAAATGAAGTTTGTTTTGAAGTTAAGGTCAATTCTGAATGATTTTTACATTCTCTGAAATGTGGATTTAAATAATGTTCATACTTTATTATACCCCCCGCAAACGAAGTATAGGGGGGTATATTGGAATCAGCATGTCCGTCTGTCTGTCCGTCTGTCTGTAGACGAGATTTTGTACGGACCATTTCTTGGAAATCGTTGCAAGGATTTGTCTGAAAGTTTGTACACTTAATATTCGCCATATGAAGGTGTGCACCTGGTATTTTCATTATGATTGGATAATTTTTTTTGCATTTTACAGGTGTTTTTTCATTTTTATTATGTGGTTTTGTCCGGATCTGTTCCCAGAGACTATTGCATAGATTTGTATGAAAATTTGTACACTTATTATTTACCATATGAAGATGTGCACCTGGTATTTTCAACATTATTTTATAATTTTTCTGCATTTTACAGGTGTTTTTTTTTTTCCATTTTTATTGACTTACTCATTTCAGGTTCATGTCTAAGGTTTATTGAGACATAGAATCTAGAACATCTGTACAAAAATGTGAACTACAGCTTAAAACTACTCAATTAGAACTAAAAAAAAATCACAAAGTATCAAAAACAGTTTTTACATTACACAGCAATCATAGTGTAAATCCATTTGTCCCTTGGGAGTAATGATTGGACATGCATCCAGTTAAAGATTAATTAATGAGTTCAGTGTGGGAAGCTGTTACAGCATCTCTGATCAAGCAGGTCTTATCTATATCTCCTGGGAATTGGGGAGAAAGAAATAAAGATCTCTGTTGTCTAAGTCTCTTAATTGTAATTTATGTCTGTCAAAATACATAGTTACTGGATCCAGCCTTTTTTTTTTAAAATGAGTTTGATATAAAGGTATTAAGATCAATTTGATTTTGTGTAATTAATTATGATATTTTTTTTTCAGCAATCAATTTGCAGAGTGTCATGTCTCACAAAGACGACAGATAGTTGCAAACTATTTTTTTTCAATGTAATTAAAAAACACTGTAATTATTAGTTTTGATGTTTTATTAGGCTACACCTTAGTTTCATTCATTAAAAAAAAATATAATGAGTAACTAAATTTTCACTCTAAATGTTTAAGCAAATTGTGAACACCTCTCACATCCAGAAAACAGTGAATTGGTACCTTCTCTGAAAAACCCAGCGGGGGGGGGGGGGGGGGGGGGGTGTTATTTGTCCCTTTTGGACAGTTCTAGTTTTGGTAAAATACACAATGAGTTATGATTTTATTGAATTCTAAAGACAAGATATACATCAAGATATGTTTTTTTTTTTTTATTATTTATTTATTCATTTTTTTTTTGCTGCCTTATGTAAATTCAAGAATACATGTACCATTAATTTTAACAGGTAGTCCGATAATAAACTCATTCTATCATTACTGAAAAAGTTCTTATTGTAAACTTGGAAGAAAAGGATGAGAGAGCAGTACAATTAATTAATCCCCTTGGATTAATTATCTTGTCTGGGGCAGAAAATTTTCCAAGCTTATCTTTATATGTCACTTTAAGATAAATTAACCTTTGTCT